GGGTCAGTTCAAAAAAGGCTTTCTCTCTTGCTTGCCAAATGTCTGTCTGTATGTGTGTATGTCTGAATCTTTCTCTCTCTGACACACAGAGACACACACACTCCTGCCATGACACCATCTACCATGCTGGGAAGTAGTCAGAGGGCCTTGATTAGAGGACCCAAAAGGGCTATGTCTCATTTTCAGCCTCCAAAACAGTGAACTAAGTAAACTTTTTTCTGTATTAAGTATGTAGCTTCAGGTATTTTGTTATATCAACACAAAACTGATACCTATCCTTTAAAGTTCAAAAGTTTTTCATTTTAATGAAGTCTAACTTATCTGTTCTCTTCATTGCTTCTATATTATTTACTTTTAAGGAAGAGATATTTTTAAAGGCAAAAGGTTACGAAAATGTGGCCAGGTAAGTTGTCCAGACTTGTATTAAGCCACGCCAGTTCAGAGGAATGAGGCTGGCCATTCACTTAATCACAAATTCCCATTTAGGTAATGTACCCACTTTATTTTGGTGAAGGCCAGGAAGGAAGCTACCCACAGAAGTTTTTAATTAACTAGATTTTCAGATTAATTATTTGACCTTTAAATTTCATGTGTTCAAAAAGATACAAAGAAATAAACTCTTTTGTACATTTTCAGTGCTATATGTCAGAGCATCTATATTTTCATATTCCAACCTAGAATTGGAATTTTTTAAAACATTTAAGGTGGGATTTTAAACTAATAGTTTCCTCAACTGTGAAAAGATGAAGATTGGCATGGCAGTGCACTAGTATCCCATAACTTCTCCATAAACACAAAATAATGAATCAGGATTATGTAGTTTCCCAAAGAATTAACTGTGATTAACTTTTCTATCCAAATAAAGTCATTAGTATCCCGAAAAAGTTATCCAATACCTCTGACAAGTTTTTTTTTATACTATGTAAATCAACTTTTTGATTTAAAACTTCTTGGTTTCAAAAACTTTTTGAGTGGTGATGACTGCACAGCAAATACAAATGTTCCGATATACACATATAAAAAAGTTAAAATGGTAAATTTTTATGTTTGTTTAACCACAATTTTAAAAAGTAAGAGAAAAAAGAGGAGACAAGACAAACCAATCTGAGTACCTGCTGGTAGTAACCTTGGGACATGCAGAAAAACCTGTTGAGGAAGGCACAGTTCACTGGGCCACTCAACAAACACCAGGAAAGCAAAACCACAGAAAGCACAGCGGACAGGTCACCCTGGAAGGACAATGTGGCTCACCAAATAGAGCTGTCTCTGAAGACAATATGGGGCTACACAAGGATTTCCTTCACACTTCCCATGACTGGGTAGCCTTCAAAGGCAACTGAATTTCAGTACTGCAGTATTGTTCAGTTCTTCCTAGACAGCCTTTTTTTTTTTTATATACCACATAGGCCAGGGTCCTCTTACACATGAATTTAAGATAATGCAAACATTTTGGTGGGTGGTGGTGTTATTTGCTGTGCTGGGGATGAGATCTAGGGCACTGCATATACTGTTATGTTTCATGTAACAACAAACCAATGTCCCAGCACTACAGAGAGCATGCACAGACACCTCAGGGCAAAGCAGCATGAAAAACTCACAATGCACCTCTTTGCAGTTTTTCAAGAATATTTTTTTAATGTCTATTATGGTTTAGTCTAAAATGTCCCCCAAAGTCCCACGTGTTCGGGGTGTGCTTCTGGAAGGTGACTGCACTGTGGAGATGCCATATGCATCAGTAAATTGATTAATTCACTGATGAGTTCATAGCTGAATGTGCTGTCAAGAGCTGGAGGGCTAGAGGGCGTGTGGCATGGAAGTGGGTGATCTTGTGCTTGGCTCCTTCCTGTCTTTCTGTTCCCTGCTACCATGGGTGGAACAGCTTTCCTCCACCAGACCCTTCTGCCATGCCATTTCTGCCATGGACTGAACTCTCTCAAACTGTAAGCCAAATAAACCTCTCCTCCTTTAAGTTGTGTTAGATATTTTGTCCCAGCAATCAAAAACATGACTGATACATTGTCTAACGTAGAATGCCTAAGTAGAATAAGAAGGTAAGAAAATACTTTTGCCCATACTTCCAAAGTAATAAAGCATGTTCACTGCATCTTGTAAATTTATAGATACCCAGGACTCCACTGGATACCAAAATCTATAGGTGCTCAAGTGCCTTATATAAAACAGCACAGTATTTCCTTACAATGTATGCATACCCCATATACTTTATCTCCAGATTACTTTTTTTTTTTTGGTCTTTTTGAGACAGGGTCTTGCTATACAGCTCAGGATGGCTTGAGCTCATTTTGTAGCCCAGGCTGGCCCCAAACTCACAATGATCATCCTGCCTCAGCCTCCTCAGTGCTGGGATTACAGGCATGTGCCACCATGCCCAGCTCTCCAGATGACTTATAATGCCTAATATAACAGAAACAGTTCTTACACTATAATGATTAGAAAATAATAAAAAAAAAAAGTTTAATACTGACATTTTTTTCAAATATTTTCACCCTCTGGTTGGTTGAATCCAAGGATGCAGACCCCATAAATCCAGAGGACCAACTATCTAGCCATAAGTTCAAATTAAAATGCACCGCTTCTTTAATGTATAAATTTGGAGGTCAGATTTTTCAAAAAAATTACTGGGCCCAAATAAATTTTTCTGCAACTTGTTCTATAAACAAAACAAGCACCAGTGAATATAATTGTATTCTAAATCGATCCAGCTTACGTACCATATCTTAAACTTACTTTTAAAGTACAGACAGCCTAAAGGGATGCCTCACTATGCTAAGTGCTCAGCTGGGATGTGCTGAATGAGTAGGTGAATGAATGAGAAGCCCCAAGCCATACTGTGAGCAGGTTTGGGGGAATGACATCACAGGTTAAAATTTTCTTATACCTCCTAGATCTATCACAGAATTACTTTGACTATTATGGCAACGAAATAAAATCTATTACATTTTTAATTCAATATAACAGACATACCAGATTCTCCTTCCTAGGGTGGAGGAGGAAGGAGTAACTTCGCCAAGGGCAGCTTCTGCAACTACCACAGGGCTACAGCAGATGTCAGGCGAGCCAAAGGATACCGATCTCACCTAACACTCAGTGCCTACCGAAAATTGAGACGAAACAGTCCGCTTGTACAAACCTGATCATTCACTTGACCTTTATCTCAGAGACTGCGGGGTAGGCTCACTACAAAATATGATTTTTCTTATTCCTTGCTATAGCGTTCACTTCCTACTGTGAACCTGCTGTGATAGCTAAGTGCTTACAAGAGAGGACACTACACAGGCAGCAACTGCTCAGGACTATGTCACCACTGCACTGCATTTCCCCAAAGTTCCTGTGCTACAGTTCTAACCTCTCATAGCTCAGACCCCGGCCTTATCTGGAGAAGGAATTCCTACAGATGTAACCAGGTAAAATGGGGCCACCCTCCACTAGGAAGGAACCCTAATCCACGGTGACTTAACCTTATGAAGGGAAATTTGGACACCGATACACATGGAGAACACTACGGGAAGACTGGAGCTGTGCTGCCACAAGCCGAGGAATGACAGAACTTAGAAGAAAGACCTGGAACAGATCCTTTCCCAGCTCCTGCAGTGTGAGCACGGCCCTCTGACACCTCAGCTTTGGGCTTTTAACATCTAGAACTGTACAGCCAGAGATTCTTCCTGATCTAGAGCCATCCAGTGTGTGGCACTTTGCTCCTACGGCTACGGCTCTAGCATACTACTGCAGACCCTAGGAGCCCGTGTGGGCCAACCTGCTGCCCTCCACCCGGTACATTCCAGACCCCGCCTTCCACCCGAGGCCCTGGCCGGCACAAGAGCCTAGGCCCCCACACCTCACCCTTGAGCTGCTGCAGCAGCTCTGGGCTCCCGGACTGCAGACTACTTCCACCTCCTTCGGTTGCCAAACCTTGTGCACACCGCCAAGCGTTAACGTTTCAAAGATGCCAACTTTGCCTCACTCCCTTATTAAAAAGCCCCTGGTGATTCACCGTTTCTTGCCTGCCTTTCAGGCCTCTAAGCCAGCTGCACCTGCTCAGTGGGATTCCCTGGGTGACCCCAGAACGTACTACCCATTATTTGAGATGTCATGCCTCCTCCCCCGCTTGTCACTGTCCCCTTTCACTGCCCAAATCTGGACCACCCCATGAAGAACACTGTCAGGACCCTTTGTCCTGCGCTCCCTCTACCTGTGTGGGTTAATCCTGACTGTCTGCTCAGCTGGATTCAGGGACTCCTGAAGACGTGACTGGCTCGTAAGGGCACAAACCCACGGGGAAACCTGCAGGTGACTGGGATACAGGAGAGAGGGCCTCGCTGGACGAAGTGAGGCATGGTGGGTGACCCGGGGTCTGCCTACGTCTGTCCCTGGCCCTTCCTCTGACTCCTTCCTCTGACTGCTTCCCGACTGCCGTGAGTTGCGCAGCTTTGCTCCACCACGCCCTTCTTCCGAGATGTTTGTGGCTTGGAAGCAGCTGACCCGGGCTGAAACCTCTGAGGCCAGGAGCCAAAACAAACCTCTCCTCCGGCACATTGGGGTGTCAGGCGTTTAGCCCCAGCATCGTGAACGCGCACCAAGACACCACCCGTGCCTGACACAACGGCCACATCTCTCTGCGCCCACCGCCAGCATCCGTTACCCTGCAGGGTAATCTGACACTGGAAAAGTGGGCGCTTGAATTCCACAGCTGGGCTAGGAGACTCTTCATGACAGGACACACGTCTTACAGTTTCAGGTAGTTCCTAAAGCCAAAGGCAATGCTAGGCATATGACACGTTACCTCTAAATTCTTCCTGAATTAACTATTAAACATATACTTAAAATCCCAAGAAATGATACTTAGGGCTCTTCCTTCAACCGAAGGCTTGAGAACTGAGACAAACTTACAGATTTAATGTAATCCTAATGGGCCCATATATACCCAAATAATTTAAAACTTAACAACTAATGGGGAAAATTACTTTGAGACTCAAGTTACTTACCATTCTTCATCACTACATTGGACCAGACATTGGCATTCAAGGCTTGGACAATTCGCTTTACTCCTGTAGATTCAGGGAAGTCATCTAATCAGGGTAAAAATCATACATACATATATATTAATGTACACACTTATACACAACTACAATGCACACGCCCACATCCATATATGCATATTCAGGCTCCCAAAGCCACATTTTCAAATTACTGTGGCTTAATTATCTTGCTTATTAGCTGTTACTTCACACTGTAACTTGTATAATAAAAAAAAACAAAACAGTGAATACAGAGCTCAGAGGTCCTTATAGAAATATTCTACAAACTGAAATGATCAAATAAACACACGATATAAAAGGGGTATATAATAAAGTCATTCCCAGTGCCTCACCAATGGAAACCACTCATATTCTCTTGAACATGTAAGTTTCCATTAATTACTCAATCCTGGCCTAGAACTAAAGACACTAATCTTGGTTGTTTACAGCGTGTTTCCTAAAGGCAGCACAGAACTTTTAGTACATGATAACACATGGCAAATGTTCTATCTTCCTCTAGAAACCATTGAGTAATTACTGTTTTAAGATATATAGAAAACTCCTGAATCAGAGAAAGTTTAAGAGTGAATGACTGATCTTACTCAAAATATAAGGGCCATAATCCCAGGTAGCACATCAATAACACTGATATTCTTAGCTAGAAGTTAGGTATCACTATGCACAAAGGAAGCAGTTCCTCTGGATATTCAGGACTATGGCAGAAATCATTTGCATCTGGATAGAAGGAAAAGAGTGTGCAGAACACAGTCCACACAGAACCTGTTGCTAGCGCCCTGGCCCTAGGACGCTTAACACGAACAGCACAGAATCAGAAGTCAGAAACTCTGACTTGAACCCAAGCCTGTGACTCAGCTTATCTGACCAAGAACAAATCATTTACATTACCCCCAAAGAAATGCAGAGCCAGCATTACCCTGTGCACACATTTCTTGGAGGAAAAACGCTCCAGGACTGATGCGGCACTGGTGTAACCTCAGCCCCAGACCAGAGGGTTGAACCCTGTCTTAGTCAATCCATTACGACCACTGCCTAAGGGCGCCTGGAGGAGGAAGGCAGGCCCTCAGCAACTGTTCCACAGGCTGACAAATCATTTAAAGAACATCAGCCTGACAACACAGTGAAGATTACATTGCAGATAACTAACTACAAAGGCGAGTTTATCGCCCTCGCTGTTGGGATGAAGATGTAGAGGCACGTTTTTCTTAACTACTAATACCTCGATTCTTGAAGGAATGATTCATATTTTAGGTGTTACATCCAGGAAAGAAAAACTTGGTTCTGAAATGAAGAGTGAGAACCAATAAGAGGAAATTTAATACAAACAAGCACAAATCTCACGTGGGCGTTTGAATATAAATGTAAAGAAAGGGTGAGGCACTAGGACTTGGAAATAGTTTGTATTTAAAAATCCTAGGAAAGTTTTGGTTACCTTGCCTAAAGATGACATGTTTAAAAATTAAAATTAACTGAATTAATACAAGAACACTGCTCACACTAAGGGAAAGAAGACGATGAGTGACGTAAAGAATCAGAAATTCTCAATGCTAACAGTCAAATACTGACTTCCAAGGACAACAGGGAGCAGATTCTAGAGCCAGAAATAAGCAAGTACACACAACGCTCACATACACAAAGTCAGGCACGGTTTTAACGGAGCTTTAAAAAAAAATACATGGAAGGGGAAACTACTTGCTAATTTTCAATATTCTTAAAAATGTACAGGAATAAAAATCTAAGGTATTTCATTTTTGGTTTCTTCTCTGGCAGGATTTTACTATCAAAGGTAACAGCATTTTGGAAAAAGTCTAAGCCAGAATATAGGAAGATACTTAACTAAAAAAAAAAAAAGGTTGCATGTGATGGGTGATCGTGCCTGATGTACACACTTGAACTTATATTGGCTGCCCTTGCGTGGACTGCAATTTGGAACACCCGGCACCTTATCAACGCCACCTCCCCAGCGGTCCTCCAACTACAGGTGCAGTACCTTTCCCGCTTCCTCCCAGAGGAGCTGACCTGGGGTCCACAGCACCAACATTCTCTGCATTTCTAAACTGAAATACATGGTACCCCAGTATTCCTCGTTAACTGGGTCCAGGAGACGCGACAAGTACCACACAAAATGTTTCGGTTGGAATGGGCAGCGAGGCACAAGGGAACAGACACTACAAATTCTGGCTTGACACAGCACTAAACCAACAATGAGCACTGGGATAAAATTTTCGCAGCAAAATGTCTTGAGTACCAAACTTGGTGCGTTTCAAATCAGTCCAGTACTAAGGTATGACGGTCATCTCTCCTGTCTCTAAAAACCACAGCATCAGTACTTTTCCTTAATACTATGACATTCCACTTGGGGACTCAATTATTTATATCTACATTTTATCTTTGGTACTAGATGAAATGTTTCGGTGGACCAAAATCTGTCTTTTCTGGGCAGATCCCACACAGGAAAAGAATCAGGGAATCACAAAAAAAAAAAAAAAAAAAAAAAAGTTTTTAATTAAAAAACAAGAAACAGGAGGTCTAAACAATAGCAAAACACAGGGAATAAACAGCTACCCAGGGACAGAAGAATACTCTGGGTCTGTTGGTTTCAGGCGCCCTGAATACAAACAAAAAGGTCTGACGTGGCCCTGAAGTTCCTAGAGTTTATTATGAAGTAAAAGAAGGAACAGAGCTTCTACCTATGAATGTGAGTCTAACCTTCCTTGTCTGGCACTAGGGCAAGGATAAGGGTTAGAGAGATGACAACCACTTGTACATAGAAATCTTTCACTGTTACCCACTGAGAAAGCATTTTTCCACTCCTAAAACTGTGGTAAAACCGAATAAATGGATCACAACACTACTGGCGAGACCGTATCAGTGGATATGTTAAATCCTTCTCAAACCGCCAGGAAGAAACAGTGTTTCTTGACTTTACTTTCTTCTTCTCTCCTGACCTCAAAGTCTCTCGTCTTAATGCAAACTCCACGCTTTCTCCTCGCCCACCCGCACCTACCGTCCTCCTCAGGCAGCTCCTCTGGACTAAGCTCCACCAGTTCAAAGCCATGCTTGATGCACCATTCTTGAGCTTTCTGTCGGCTTACACCTGAAATAATACGCGAAACAATCTGTACAAGCAGAAACAAAACACGAATGCGCTGCGATACTCTCCACAAATCTCAACGCTTTTCCCTTAATGGCAATGTTACTCTAAAGATACCTAGAATAAAGTAACGTAAGTAAATGACTTTTCAGCCCCAAAGTATTCACTCTTAAAAACAAGGTGAATAGGGTTATGATTCCCGATGCAGCTGAAAGTATCTATAAAGTGACAAGGTCACACGAGATGTAGCATTCTCAGAGAACAGGCGCACCCGTCTACTGCAGACGGCCCACACACGTCCCGGCGACACCCCAGCCCCGGCTTACCGTCCTCACACACCCTGTCACAGGCCAGCATCATCACCTCCGGGACCCACGCTTCTGCCAGGGGAAGCCATTCGGAGACACTGTCGAGACCTGACTTCTACAGGGAGCAAGAACAACATAACAGGAAAAGAGACATGAAGCAAACTCACAGAAAAGTCAGTGAAGAAAAGAGTGCACACGGTCATCTCTTATCCAGAGCTCCATGGAAAACCGAGACTTACCTGTGAGCTGTCAAAGTAAATCACAAATGCCTGGACAGATTCTGCAATTTCTGGGGTGACGAGGAATCTGTTTGGCACCACACACAGGTTGATATCTGCCGAGTAGTATTTATTATCAATGGTCCAGGGGTAGAATCTCACAGTGTCATTAGAAGTCGCTTCCACAAGAAGATCTTCTCTTCCAAGGATATCTAAACAAATGACACGACATTACCAGGGCAAGTGCAACACCAATACCAATGTCCTCAACAGAATACCACACTAATCCGGCTCCTTGGCTGCTTCCTTTATGCAAAGGGTCCCAAGAGCCCTGCGCTCATTAGGGTATTTTCTTCTCTGATCATCTGATTATAAAACAATGCCACAATTTAAGTCACTGGCTTTTTGTTCCCCTTTAAAAAACAAAAACTGTCTAGGTTAGATAGTAGTAGAGAAAACTGGCCATGTGATTACTCAGAAAAGACTGAGCAGTAGAGAAAGAATGGTAGGTGCTTCACTCTTGTGTTCAAGTACTTCATGGGAGGTGGAGGATTGTAAGAATCTACAAGAATTTCTATTTTGTACTTATTTCATGCTACAATGAAGGCAGGATTAAGGAAAACACGATATGGCAAAATAGGATTAATAAAACAGATGAGCTACATACATTTCTCAGGCTAACTGCTTAGATTTTAATTCAACTGATGAAACAAAAGAATGGATACTGATAAATGACCCAGTTCCTTTTATATTCAGACTTGTTCAGTCTTTGAGAGCCAACCTAACTCCTGCTTGACTGAGACACTGCTGGCAAATAAATGTTAAATGTACGAACGCCAAGCAAATTAAATGTTTCAGGTTACAGCTAACGCCTTCAGAAACCCATCTGCAGTATGGGTATAACAGGAAACCCTCACAGCAGGAGACAAGTGAATAGATGTGGCCATGGGGCCACCAAAGCAATCTGTTCCCTTGGTCATTCGAGGGTTAGAACCAGGAGAAACAGCAGAAATTGCTCTAACCTAGACTCCCACCTCTCGCAGCCACACCTCGAATGTTCATCTTATACAGACATGGAAATGAGCTTAGAGAAGAAAACGACCCGTCATGAGCGCAGTTATCAGAAGAACACAGACAAATGGTCCAAACCTCCTTTTCAGGGCATGTAAAGACAAACGTGTAAAATACCCCTCAAACTCACAATTAGCAGTACACTGAAAACTAGAAGTTGAATATTAAATTCCAAAACTAAGATTACACCATACATTTGGAAAGCTGCCATCATTTCTGCTTGACAAAGATATAGGGAAATTATTTAGTCCAGAAGACTGCTAAGAATAATGTAGGTATAACATACAAGGTCTGAATATGCATGTGCATTTCTGAAAAATAAAAAAACTGAAGTGCCCCCTTTTAACAAAAAATACATTTAAAAAAATTTGAGATTTTGTATTTGATATGAGGCCATGCTATGAAAAGAATGTTTTCAAAATTTTTACCAAAACCAGAGTTGTTACTATTAAACGAACAGGTCGCGCCCAGGTCTGAAACTCTGACCTCTTGTCCTC